TGTCTCCGACATGGCCAAAACACGTGGAAAATCTCACTCGCATGCAAAACTCTTTCAAACTGGCTTCGTGTCTGCTGCTGCTGGTAAACTCAAACAACAACCAACAAAAACTCACTAATGGCATTCACAGGAGTCAGGACTTCCACACTCTGTCACGTGGTGCCAAAATCCTTTACCCCCTCATGGAAGTCCGGCGGCGATGACCCGAAAAGGAGGAAGTAGACTGCGTAGCTGAACTCTGTGTAGCTGCCGGTCTCGAGCTAGAGGGATCATCTCGCTTCAAACGATCGATACAATCCAGACAAACACCTAGCTCTTTGCAGCGACCATGGTTCACATGCTCACAGTTCTTCGAAAGATGCACCACAGTGTCCTTCGGATTCACAAAAGTGCGGATCTCAAAGTCGATCCAACAGCCATCTCTCTCATTGCGGGGATCATCCCGATGCTGCCCAAGATCATCCATTCCGTCAAGGGTTCCATACGTCTCTCGGACAACAACGATCTTCTCCCTGCGGCAACAGACAACAAAAGGAAGCCCGATCAAAGAAGTAACCATGACGTTGAGGACGAACAAAAGGAGTTCCCCCTCATACGCAAAGCTGCTGGCCATTGCGTCAAGCTACAGGCCAAACCAAACTAATTGAGCATACACAACCTGGGCAAACAGAAGGCTTCGATGCGTGTGCGAAAAGCTTTGCTCAAGGAAGACAACCAAGCAAACGACGGCACATCTCAGGTGGATAATGCTGTGTCTCCTTGAGGTCAAACTTGTTGCTGTGCTGGTGACGACCATCGCAGACGAGCTCAGATAGAGTCTCTGCCAGAACTTCCAGATCCGTATCAACTCTCCACTGCTTCTTGATCGGAAGCTCATCTTCCCCAACCATGCCAACTGAGCAACCATGCACAATCACGCTGTAGATGGGCCTCGTGTGATTGGCCTCTGTTTTCTTTGTTATCTTCCAGCCAGTACTGGCACGTCTTCGGCCACTCAATAGCAAGATAGGGGCTGTGGCAGCCTTCCGGGAGGTTGGACAAGGGAGAAACTAAGGCCTCAAAGCCTTTCCAAAGCTTCCGCTGAATCCCCCACACCTTCTTGAGGCGGTCCATAAAACCCTCATGCTTCCGGTTCAGAAACTGCCACACACATCCACCCGTACAAGGCGTAGACGACCAAACAAGAACTCTCACTCCGGCCATGCAAACTCTCTCAAGGTGTCCACGAATCAAAGCAATAGTCTCGTCCAAGAGACCATTCTCACGCTCCGTGATACGTATCACGGCAAGCTTTCCACCCTTAATCAAGTCACAAGCTCAACCAAGGTTCGACTCCGGACTCGTACAGTACTCAACAACCAACCAACACAACTTCTCAAGCTTCAGTTCCAGAAACTTCAAGTCAAGATCAACCAACGCTGGCACATCTGGTTCTTTACCAAGGATTGCCACTACACTCTCCATGTCCCAACCGACCGCATCGGGATCCCCAGGGGGTCTCCTCTCAACAATACCCAACGCTTCCAAATGATTGCAGTAGCTCGACCTCTGGATCGTGCTTTTGGTAAAGATGTCGGCCGGGTTCGAGGCACCGGAAACCCACTCCAGCTTAGCCTTGTTCTCTCTCAACGCATCCTGGACCCAACTCCTTTCCTACGCTGCGAAGAGGTCGCATGGCGTCTGACATTTGGCAGGTGTCAAGACCCGGCTGACAGTGTCAGCAGCGCACGTTTGTACGCCCCCGTGCTACCTAAGACTGGAGTGTACAACTAGCCCGAAGGCTCCATACTATGTACAGCTACGCAGTTACTTAGGGTGGTGTGCTACAGGCAGCTTGCTGGCACTATTGGCACAGCACACAGGTGGGGGTAGTGCATTAGGGCTAGTTACAAAAGCAGGGTGGGTGCACAAGGTATTCATCTCTTATGGATGAACAACCCACACGGGAACACGGGTTAGGGATTAGGGGCCTACTCACCACAGCCGGCATGTGTCAGCCACCCACAGTAGGAACAAGCTGAGGTGGCGGCAGGTTCGCTCATGCACAGCTGCAGGTATGGGCTGTATGATAATCATTCCAGATATGCTCATCGTAAGGGAGATGCTCACTCATCTGGGCGGCACAGGTCGACAAGGCGGCTGCCCAGTTGCTGCTCCACAGCAGTTTGCAAGAGGGAGTAGTTGGCCGAGATGAAGGCTACAAGTCGCAGCCCTCGGTATCTGGGCAGAACCTCCAAGATGGAGGGCACAATCTCACAGGCAGTGCCACTGTCCCACAACTGGCCTGCTAGCGCCTGGGCGTATGCGATGCAACAATCACTCCCAACAAGTTCCTCGGCAATCAGGTCCAGGGCAGCAGCTCGGATGTGCACAAGGGGCAGAATGGCTGTGAAGGTCGGGGCAGGCTGCAAGCACTGCCAGCAGAACACACAAGTGCACACGTTCTCAAGTGTCAGCCAGATTGTCCTCAAGAAGCCACTTAAATTTCTCTTTGAACTCGCTGAACTCGCCCTCCAAAATTGAAAATGCACGAAGCGTGGTGGAGTTGATGTCCTTCTCTTCGCCCAGAGATTTGGACAGGTTTCCACGCAGCTGTGCAACGGAAGATTTGGTGTGCCCGGCCTTCTGAAGCTGCTCAGAGTACAGGTCAAGCAGCTTCCACCTAGTCTCAAGAAGGCTGAGTTCCGACGTGATGTCCAGAGACGTCGCACAGCTGTGCGGAACCGGCGCACAGCCTTCCTTATTGGAGAGCTCAGGTGATGGTATCCTCCCCTACACCTAACCCTATGGGCCAAGACAAGCATCACTCCAAGTGCTTCAAGTTGCAAGACCGCAATAACTGTGGTGACATGCACATCGCACAAGGGGGCGCTTAGGTTTGTCACAGCCCATGTAGCATCGTCAGTCGGCACTACAGACACCAAATGCCGAGGTCGGGCAATTGGCTGCAAACAAAGCTCCGTCGCCAAGCAGGTCAGTGTTCCCACGCGACCTCGCATTGCAAAAGATCATCCTCAATGCGCCCGATGCATGCAGGGTTTGACATAATTGAGAGGCAGGCCTGAGACAGTAAGGCATAGTCGCCCTCTCCACGCATGACGAGTGGACCTCGTGATTAGGCATGCTCAAAGGCTGTATCCCTCGAGGTTCTTAGAGGCTCTGGCTTCCTGACATAGTGCCGCTTTTTGATCCCTGCAACTCTGAAGCATAGGGGACTTGTCGCTAGACAAGATACAGGCAGTGCGGGGCATAAGGCACGAGCGCAGCTATCCAATGAGAGCCATGTATTACCTCGGGCCATGATATGCAGGTCATGCATTGCTGCCGCACAGTGTGGAGCATTCAGCGGCATACGGCTGAGCCAGATGCAGCTTCCCGCGTGCAAAAGTCACCACCTGCCATTGGAATCACGGGGATGCGGTGCTCAGGCTGAGCGGCAGCACAGGAAGTGCAAAGCACAGGGTATGAGTGCAGCGCACATATGGCGGCCATTTGTGACCTTGGGCAACGGTACGCATTGTACGGTTCCTCACTTTTGTGAAGGACGCTCGAGCTGCTAGCTGCAGTGAGTCAAGTGCGCCTTCGGTTGTTCAAAGAACGCCCAAGTGCCTAAGCGTGGAGCGGTTATAGCACATGGTGCAGTGCATTGATTGGCATTGCCCGGCCTGTGTCCCATTAAAATGCGGTCACACATGCCACACATGCACAGTGGTGAGAGGCCCGGATTGTGCACAGATGAATTCCCTCTTCTGGACTCTGAAATGATTGAGCTACTACTGGCACCAGCCGCAGCTTTGGCAACGAGCAGTTCAGGGTGTATGTAGTCGTTCATGGCTTGGTCAGGACGGCTGCACATGCTGCACGTATAAGGTGAAGGCTTGCATGTGCCGTCAAGAAGGCAGGGAAACATGTTCCGTGCAGGTCAGCTGATGTGTTCCCAGTGCAGGGCATGCAGATTAATTTTCACCCACCTTGCTCCGCTTTGAAATACCTGAGCTACTACTGGCCGAGGCCGCAGTTTTGGCATCCGGCAGTTCAAAAATATTCCTATGTCATGGGTTAGAGGGTGCGGTGAAAGAGGAGTACATAAACATTCGACTCCACCTCACTGATTTGGTTGGGCTTAATGAGGGTTGAAGGGCGTTGATCGTCAGTCAGATACTGCCGGTGCTCCTTGACCAGCACTGATCTGTAGTGTCCCGCAGTCGGCTCATCCCCGTAGTGAACCAATGCAGCAATCAGCCTATAGTTAATGACATTTTCCTCCAACCCCAGAGCAATCCTATCAAGGGGATGCACGAAGTGGGGAATGCTGAGGCTATTGGAGAGGCTAACCCTGCTAAGGATTTTGGTGCAGGTGCCATGGCTGACATGGAATCGGTTCAGCTGGAGAGCGAGCACTGCTGGTGGCTCCCCGCTCAGCGCACAACGATTTGCCTGTTCGTGCCACTCATCAACCAAGAGCTGCGGCATACAAGGTTGGGCACGAGGCTGAGGCATAGGCAGCTGGCTATTGATAAAGATTGGCCATGTGGTACCTCTATCCGCAACGTGGCATTGCCCGTCTGCCGTGATAGGTCTTGGCCTGCCATTCGCCGTGAATGACCCTCTCATTCAGGTGACGCCTCAAGAAGGACAGGTATTCTGCGCCGTCGTGTTGTCGTGAGGGCTGGGACCAGCCGACGTGCATGTTCTTCCATGGGATGGTGTCCCAGTTGTGTATAACTCCCGTCTGGGTTCCCAGCCATTGGAGATACCGCAGGAGTGCTTCTCCTAGGAGTGGCTCACCTGTGTGATGAAGGTGGGCCCAGCTGAGTGCAAGAAAGCTGGCATTGCTGTAACAGAAATTGCTGCGATTGCCAAGTCTGAGCTTCAGCAGAGATTGTGCTAAGTGGCTGGCATTTTGTTGGCTAGCTTGTTGACCGCCTCCGCCAAGGGGCTGCGACCTTGCCTTTCCTGCCTGAGGCTGCCTCCCACCAGGTGCCACGCAGAGTTGTGACACAACTGTTGGAGCGTGGCCCACACCTCCATCGCTGCCTGAGTGCGATGCCCAATTTGAAGCAGAAACGGTATGGTTTCCGCGCGGCCATCTGGCATCGGCCTCGTGGAGTGGAACCTGAGCACGAAGTTCTCCAGAGCACAGAGCTCCTGCAACCGGCCTACGCGCTTCTTCATGTCCTCCAGCGTGACCGGCTCCAGATCCTCCTTGATCACCATGGCCTTGCTTTCCGCCTTGTACTCCAAGTAGGGGAGCTTCAGGTCCTTCGTGAGGTAGTTGAGCTTGATCATGGCGTCGGTAGAGGCTCCCGGAGTGGTGTTGTTCAGGCGCGTCAGGATCTCCTTGAACATTGTCATTGACAGTGCAACGTGCAGACTCATCGTGAGGTCCTGCGGCTTGGTCAGCTTGATCTGCCTCCATGCCTCCGCTCTCTCCTGGAAGGTGGGGATGATGCTGATCTCTGTCTTCTTGAAGAACATAATGAAGCCGTGCTGGGTGCGGTCGATGCTCATCTGGTCCTCGTGGCGAAGCAGCAGCCGGCTCATCATTTTGCAGAGCTCCTGGCAGTCCTGCTGCGAGGCTCCCTCCTGCGTCGTGACTTGACGCCGGCTTCTCAGAGGCTGAGGCTGTCCGCTCTTGCCTTTTCCCTGGCTCTTGCGGTACTTTGAGCTTGCCCTGTCGTTTGCTTCCCCTTCCGCGTCCTCTCGCTTGCGCAGGTTCGCGCTTGTGTCCATGGGCTGCGTGGGCTGTGGCCTTCCCCAGCTCTCGAGGAGGTTCATCTCCCTCTGCGCTTGGTCCATCTCGTCCTCCGACTCGGGGACTGGCCTCTCCCTTGCGCTCATGCCTGGACCCAACATAAGCGAATATCGATGTGCCTGACTCTCCTCAGAAAACCAAGAATCGAACTGATGTTGATCGCGGCACGAGAGTCTGATCGAACAACCGGCACTTCCAACTCTTTCCGGTACACATGCTTCACAAGCACAGACAAGCCAATGCACTCCTTCATGCCTTCGCAAATGGCGGTTAACTCCGCCTCTGCGCTGCTCAATGCGATCGACGTCTGCTGCCTCGTAAAGGCCTTCCCAGGTGCATTGTCGACGAAACCACACAACCGGACAACGACCGCCGAGAATTATTCTTCTCGGACGCCCAATTGCTGTCAACAAAAGCGACAATCCGGCCTGCATTATCATCGCAACACAACAGCTGCTCCTGGTTCTCTATGGACAACAGATACCTCAAGAAAGCACGCAGACAGGCCTCGTGCACTGCAAGGGGCTGAGACTGGCCTCGACTCAAGATGCTGATAAAGTAGGTGAGGCTAATCATGGTTTGGGCACCCCAAGCAATCTTGCCAACTGCACTTCTGTACCTAGAGCTCGCTTCTGGGCTCAGCGGCTGCTGCTGGGCCTGGACTTCCATGCCATCATCCACGATCTTCTAAGATCTGGGGGAGACGCCGACGGTTTCTTGATTCCGTAGGCCTCATACGTAGTTCTAAAGTATCCCTCAGGCAAGCCAACCAAGATACCAGACGACTGGTCATGTCTCCGAATATTCCTGCCAAGAAAACTCACCTTCCCGTCCTCGGACAGAACTCCGGCAAGCTTGATTTTCACCTTCTTGGCAAACAACTTCACAAACTGTTTGGCTGCTTTCGTACTACGACAACCAAGCATCAAGTCATCAACATAGACTAGCAAGATCATGTAGTGCGACTCACGCTCAAAGATAAAGTATCCAGTGAAAATTGTCTTCTCGGTTTCGCAAGCTTCAAGTCCAAGTTCTTCAACCAGCTTCCGCAACAACTGGTACCAAGCAAGAGACGCTGACCTCAACCCATACAACGCTTTCCGCAACTTCATGTACACCCTAGACCCGTCTGGGTACTTCAGATTTGGGGGCATCATGACAACTTCCGGGCTGACAACATCTGCGAACAAAAAAGCTGTGCTCACGTCTGCAAGTATGATATCTCCTCCTGCGGCGGAGACAAAAACCAAGAACAACCTAAAGGCCGCGTTGCTGCTTGTTGGCGACGAGATGCCAAGCTCCGGGGCGGTCGGGGACCCGCTCGCGTAGTCTCTGACGACCACTCTGGACCTGACAATGTCAAGCTTCGTTTCACCATCCTTCTTCCCCACCGAAACCCACCTAGTGGAAAGAATCTTAAACCTGTGTTGCTTGGCATATTCATCGGCTTCAGCCTTAGTCAGAAGGTCACCAACCCTCAAAGAGTCAAGGGCTCTAATCTCCTTGGCCATCCCTTCTTCAGCCATCTTGGGGCAAAGGGGCTTTCCGTTGGTGTCATCCCGGATGAACTTAGGGCGCTCAAGCTTCACACGTTTGTCATTCAACGTAAGGTTCAACCAACTAGGATCCGACAAATCTGAGAAGACACTGGTCTTGAAGTGAACATTGTCAACCACATGCTGGATAACACTTTCTGCAACGCAAGACAACAACTCAGGCTCAGGTTCCGCAACAAACATGTCAAGCATTTCAACGTCCTCGGCGGTATCCGGGGAGTTCCCGAACGGTCCGGGGGAATGCTCATGCTGTTCGCCTGCACCTCTGGGCTCGGAAGGTGCACCTGGCTCTGCATACTGCTGGTCCTGAGCTGGTCCGGATAGTCCGGGGGCTGCGTCTGAACCTGACGCTGGTCCGGATGCTCCGGGGGCGTAGTCTGAGGCTGACGCTGGTCCGGATGCTCCGGGGGCGTCCACGGAGTCTGGGACGTACTCTTCGTAGTCTTGCATGTTGGCGTCCCTGCCAGGCAAGTAATCTCCAACATCAAGCGGCCGATCATGCTCAAACAAGTCGTCAACTGGCTTGTCAACTGCAACTTCAGGCAAGTAGGGGTCTTTCGACTTCTCAGAAGGGGGCTCACTCTCAAGCTTCTTTTGGAGCTTGACCCAATCTTGATACCTCTTTCGACAAACCCTGTTATGATTGGCTCCATGTGTGTCACCACCACGGCATGCCAAACATCTTCTGGTGGGTCCATGCTCACGAAAGAACTCAGCAGGAGGGTTCCCACCTTCGGTAATCGACAACGGAACGGTGACAAGTTCGGGGTCTTCGGGATCTCCAAGGGGCTTTGGGGGCTCATGCAACGCACCAACAGACCTTCGACCAAACGTACCCATGAGCTCAAGATCGAACCTCAGTGGCATCACAACCTTAAGAGAGCTTGCCTGGACTACCTTCAGTGCCCCGTCTCTCAACTTCAGGTTCACAAGGTGTGACGTTCTTCCCATCACGGGTCCGAGGTAACAACCAAACGCAAATCGACCAACGATCATGTCTGCTGCTGATGGCGCTGCTGCACAAACTGTGGCACCAAAGACATACAACTGATGTGGCTTGTGCGTGTTCCCTCTGAGTCTCTGCAACGGACTGAGGTCGGAGCCGGCAATCTTAGCATATCTGTTGTGGGCATGCGCGCAATGATTGTACAACAAAGAGTAGCACCTACTTGTGTCTCGCAAGCAAACACCATGGTCCTGCATGTCAACCAACATGGTATTACCCAACTCACGCAAAGCTCTGACTGCTCTCTCTGCGGCTGGGGCGTGCCTTGCTGGATTGAACTGCTCTATCGGTCCTTGCAGTGTGCTGTGACCTGACAGCACCTCAGTGAGAAGCGTTCTCATGTACGGCTCTGCATCACACCTGAAAACTACTCCTTCACGCACATTTGCAAGTCCAAAATGCAACAACCATGCGCCAATCTGCTCTACCACTGTCGGTCTACCTGCTTCTCCGTCTACACAACCAAACGCAACACTCTGGACATGAACTACCACAATGAATCTCTTGGAGGACTTAAAGAATTGATCTACCTGCACTTCATGCTTCATGACCTCTTCTCTGGGCCTTTCCCGGGCTGGTTTGGGGAGTCCACGGGACCTGACACAGACTTCGCAAGAGGAGTTGTACGGCAAATGTCCACGCAAAACATGACTGGCAAGGTCAAAGTCAATCTCACTGTCTTGTAAAATCCACCAAAACTGCTCTTCTTCTACGGCTTCACTGCTGGCTTGCTCTTGTCCACTAGCTTGCTCCTGTCCACTACCAGCTGCACAACCAAGCTCACTGCTCCTACGCACAACCAGCTCAAGAGGATCAACCATGCAAGCAGGGTCAACCATGCTCATGTTTTGCTCCATTGGCGGCTTCTGTCCTGAACCCGATGGGCAGGAAATGGGCGAATTAAGGATCCTGCTTGGTGGGATCACTTCTTGGTAATCACGATCACCTTCACCCCTTTTGGGCTGCGGCTTCTCGACCTTGATGACCGTGACTCCGCTGGAGGCGGTGGTGGCTTCGGCAGGTTCTGCGGCCACTGGCGGTGGCGCTGTAGCCCAGGTGGCCTCGTTGATCGGCTCCGGGGGCGGTGGAGTTGGCAACACTCTGTTCGCCCGCTCATTCAACACCACACTTGGACTTGATCCCGACGAGGTCGGCATCTCCACCACCACTCTGCTCGAAGTTGACTTTGTAGCTGGGATCCTGCCGACCGATCCCCGTGGCGGCTGCCGCGGTGCTGTCGGCTTCGGCATCTTCTTGCTCACGACCTTCTTGGGCATGGCTTTCACAACTGGAGCTGGCGGCAGGGTCTCTGGAACTGTTTCCGGCACCGGCGTCTCCGGAGCTCTCTCCGAAACGAACTCGACCTGGTTCTCGGCGACCTCGAGTTCGAACTCCATGTCTCTCAAGCGGCCCAACTGGTGCTGTGCTCGACTCACAGCCTCTGTAGCCATCTCGGCTACCTGAGCAAAGGTCATGCCTGCTCCAATCCCACAATCTTCCACCATTTCCTCCTCCGTTGGCTCCTCCACTGAGAGCGCTTCTACTGCTGGCGCTGAGGGCGCTGGCTCCGCTGGTGGCGACGTCGGAGGCACTATCACCGCTTCTTGCGGCGCTTCCTCCACTTCCACCTCCACAGGCTGTTGCTCCCTCTCGTCCTCGGACTCCGAGAGGCTCACGTTTCCTCCCATCATCCGACCCATGCTCTCCAACACTCGAAGCTGAAGCTGAGCCAACTGGAACAACCAAGCTGTCTGCAACCAACGCACTGGTAAGTCTCAAGCTTCTGCGGACCAACCAACCACAGTTTTGGTACCAGTAAGTAAACAACCTAAACCTTCTTTGGGGGTTCATACCCTGCAAGCGGCTGACACGAAGCCCTGTTCTATCGATTCCTATCACCCAGCCTTTGGCTGCCAAGGAACCTAAAGAAAGCAAATTGTGTACGCAGTCAGTCACTAGTCCACGCAACTCTGCACACACAAGGCTATCTTCAGTAGTTAAAAACTGAGCTCTCACAGTCACTCTACGGGTCAAATTTAGAACTTCTCCAAAGGCAAGGCTGCAACGAACCTCATGGTGGTCCTCGTCGACTACCAGGACGTGGCCATGGTCAATCAAACTCTGCGAAAGCAAATGCACACTAGCTGCAGAATCTCCCAACCAAAGGTGGTCCCGAAGAGACTCGTCAACAGTACCTTCAAGACGACCAAACATGGGATTGCTAACAACCATGCTGTCAATGTCTTGCTGCTCGTGTAGCGCTGCTGCATGCTCATGCTCTCCCAAGTCAACTGCATGTGGGTCAACCAACGCGTGCATGTGGTCATGTTCGAAAACTCTCCAACCATGATCATGCCCATGTGCAAGTACAAAATCATGCCCATGTTCTTGTCGACCAAGATGCTCATGAAAAACTGCTTGCTCATGCTGAAAAACACGTTCTCCATGCTGCCCAGCACTTTGATCATGAAAAACATCTCGACCATGCGGAACACAACCATGCCTTTCAAGTAGCAAACCATCAAGCCGACCATGCTCATCATCACGAAATTCTCTAACCAAACCCATGGCAAAGAACTGTGGCATGTCTGCAACCAAGCTCATAGTGGTCCCCGTGTGGGGTCCTGCTTTCGCCTTAGGCCCAGGCTGGTCTGAGCTCTTGCCCTGTCCACCGTTCTTCTTCTTGTCTGGACAGTCTTTCGCAAAGTGCCCTGGCTTGTGGCAAAAGAAGCACTTTCCTTTCGGCTTGGCTGGCTCACTCTGGGCACGCTTTCCGCCTTTTCCTTTCTGCCCTTGGCTCTCTTTACCCTTTCCTTTCTGCTGGCTCCCTTCAGAGCCTTTGCTGCCCTTCTCTTTGCCTTTTCCTTTTCCTTTCTTGCCCTTTCCTTTGTTGAAGGCTGCGATGGTCTCTTCCGTCCAGAGGGCCTTCGCGTTGCCTTTCGACTCCTTGTCATACTCGATGAGGCGGATGTGTGAATCATAAAACTTGATGCTCTGCAAAATCTCTTCAAGCGTGTCGCTCTTTCCATGTAGCAAAACATAGTGCTTGCAAGACTCCGGCATGCACTTGAGATGGAGCATCACCTTCTCTGGCTCGGTGAGCTTCAGCTCCGGATAAGCTGCCAAGTTTCTGTCGCTCTTTCGAAGCTCAGCCTCCACTGCTCGATAGACATCCAGAGGCCTAGTGATGGCTTTTCCTGGTCGGAATCCCAACACTGCTTCGTGGATGGAGGTGGCCTCCATTCGACTCTGGACTCCAAATTCAAGATGCAGCTTCCTGAAGGCTTCGTAACCGCAGGCGGCTCCGAAATGTTTCTGCTCACACTGTCTGACTATGTCAAGAGCTCTCTGGAAATCTCCAAGTGCTTGTCGGAGGAGGTTAAGAAACCTCGCTGAGCGGGCCGCTGGCCCTTTTTCCAAGCTGTTCTGCTCGATCTCGATCGAAGTGATAATCGCCCCATACAACTCTTTCGGGTAGAAGTCGTCAAGCAAAGCCAACCAAGATGACAAGCTCTCAACAAACTGAGACCAATGGCTGATCTCAAGGGCTCTTGTGGTCATCTTCTGGTATTCAAGCAAGGGAATCTTGGGGATGTAGTTCTCTGCTTTCCAATGCCTGACACCTCCAGTGTCCCTGTCCACTTCCATGGGCTCTGGGTCCGTGGAAGATGCTGCTGCTTGTCCTTGTCCACCTGCACTGCTTGAGTTGGCAAGCTGTAGCTGAGTCATGCTCTTCATGAGCTCAACCAGGTCAGCAATCTGCTGCGACTGCTGCTTCACAACCTCAAAGGCAACGGTGGGCTCCAAAACGACTTGCTGCGGCTGAGTTGGTCCTGTTTGTCCTGGGTTCCCTGGAACTTCTCCCAAACCACGTGCTTGCACAGGAAGCCTCAAAGGCGGCACTTGGGTCGCTCTCAAAGGCGCTGGTCTGCTCGAACTCGCCCTCCTTGTGGGGCTCAAGGAAAACCTTTGTGGCACACTCCTTGCTCTCGAGGCAGCTCGCACACCCACATGGGGCGCACTTCCTGTGTCCTGAGGTCTTGCTCGGGGTCTCCGCGGACTCCTTCCACGCTCAGAAAGTCCTGAGGAGCTGAACGACATTTCTATGTCGCTGAGCGTGGCTGACCACGCTCCGCTACCACGAAAAGTTTCAACACCAAGTCGAAGCTTACCCAAAGGCTAGTTTTTCACCCAGGTTCACGGCAGTCTCAACCAACCAAGTACTTTCACGTACAGGTCAAGCACAAGTCTCTGGAGCACTAACACAGCTTAGCACACACTCGGACACTTTCTTTTCTCGCGCTTGAGCCAAGCAAGTTCAGTTCCGTTCTCCAGTCACAAAGGTTTCCTGCACTCACTGCAAAACAAACTGCTTCGGCTGAAAACAAACTGACCTCTCAGAAAGCTCGGCACTTCCTACGGAAGTACGATTTCCACAGCTCCACACCTCAGGAGCTTTCCTCACTGACAACTTTCATCCTAGAGGTCTTTCAGTTCGCAAAACTAGAAAACCATGCTTTCTCAACCAAAACATGCGGCAACCATGCAACTCTACATGAAATCACGAGATCTCTCAGGTTAGACTAGCGACATGTCTCCGACATGGTCAAAACACATGGAAAATCTCACCCGCATGCAAAACTCTTTCAAACTGGCTTCGTGTCTGCTGCTGCTGGTAAACTCAAACAACAACCAACAAAAACTCACTAATGGCATTTACAGGAGTCAGGACTTCCACACTCTGTCACGTGGTGCCAAAATCCTTTAAGAGGCCCATTTGCCTAGTGGCAGGTGATAGAGCCTACCTGAGACAGCCCCGGGTACAATTCTCAGGGTGTCATTTTACTGGCGGGCGTTGCCCTTCTAGGTTTCCCTAGAACACAGTTCTAAGGCCTTGCAGCACCTGCAGCGCCTGTAAACTCCTTCCAGACCTGGGAATTATCTTTTTAACTCCTCTTCCAGACCACAAGTCACTTTTAAACTCCTTCCAAACCTTCCAAAGCACTTCCAAACTGCCTCTTAACTACTCTTCCAGACATGTGGGCATCCAAGGCAATGAAGCTTTTTCCAACAAGTTCCTCAGCAGCTTTTCTTGCAAAGGGTATGCGTTTGGGGACCTGGAAACCATGCCTGAGTGGTTTTCAGACCGAATAAAGGCTATCCAAGAGCCTTATCTTAAGTAAATGTTTCAGTAGATCTTGAAGCGTGCTTCTAGGACCAGCTGACTGCTTGGAAAGTGCTCTGAGACTGCTGAAATATGTTTTCGGTTTGAAATAATACGGATTCGGTTCGATGTATTTTCAACTCCCCGACACCTGTTTGGTTGGAAGCCTGGGAAACCTGTTCAGTAGGAATCTGAATTGATGAACATCATGGCAAGAATGCTGCTGGGGCCCCCCAGAATATTCGAAAATGATTTTGAGACTGCTGAAATCTGCTTTCAGTTGGCAGGATCCCCGCGTGCGATTCCCATAAGTGCGAAAATGCTGAGGTTCATTTCCAAATTCCCCAAAGCTGCCTGTTTGGATTTTGGCTTGTGATTGTTTTTTCATATTTTGGAAAGATTTCTGATATCTTCGATATTTTGGCTGCAGTTTTCAGCACCTTGAAATACTCCAGATTTATACGAGCTATTTCGAGCCTCCCAAATCTTTACTAACGTTTTCAAACCTCTCCCAGACCGTTTCTGACCATTTTCCAACCTCTCCTAAACCGTTATTGAACGAACATGAGCCTCTCCCAGGCCGTTTCTGAGCGTTTTCAAGCCTCTCCCAGACCGTTGCTGAGCGTTTTCGAGCCATTCATAGACCATTTCTGAGCGTTTCATAAGCAGTGCCTGCGCGGAAGACCCGAAGAAACTTTGCGGAAGCTAGATTATCCGGTGAATAATCGGCGCACGAACATTCATGCTTCTATTGTCGGGAAGCCATATTTCTGTCATTTTCAAAAGCGAGAAAGCTGCTTGGACAACAAGAATATCGTCTCTGGAAGGACCTGAGAGATATTTGAAAAGAAATCTTGTAATAAGATCCTATCAAATACGCTCCCCCCCGAGAATCGAATCAAAGACCTTCTGAGAAGAGAATCTTATTATTCTCCGCCTGCCTATCAGATACTCCCGCAATCAGGCAGAATGCAAAGCCATCTCAACTAGAGGCAGGTGCTGAGAACCCGCTTTTCTTCAAATTTCTCCGGTATACTTATTCGCTGTCGTTTGATGGCTCAATAGTCCTTGAAAATCTGGTTTGAGCCTTCGAAATCCATAGAATCCATGGCGGCATGGATTTCAGATTTCATGAAGCTGCCTTCCAATAAATTCTCCCAAATTTTACTTGCAAAGGATTTGATATTTCCTTAGCACCAAGAAAACATTTGGGATTCTGGAAATCATGCCTTATTGATTTGCAGATCGAATAAAGACTATCCAAGAACCCTATCTTAAATATATATATCAATAGATCTTGAAGAATGCGCTTCTAGGACCATCTGATTGCGTGAAAAATATTTAGAAACTACTGAAATATATTTTCGATAACTGATCGAACAAATATTCATTTGATGCGATTCATTTTCCTCTTTCCGAAATCTTTCACTGATGAAACTAATCCAAAGATCTTCTATATGATGCCTGAGATATTTTTCTTATCAAAGATTTGATATTTCATTTATCCTTCAAAATTGCGTTTGGAGATCTAGAATT